GAAAAATACAGATTTCGAATTGTATCTCATTACCCTCTGACCTCAACTATTCGGCAGTCAGCGACAACGTCACCCTAATTTTGTCACTAAATATTGGTTTTGATTAACTTAACTTCTAGTTTTAACCCTTTTTGCAGTTAATTGAAAGTTTTTCTGTGCCAAACAGGTTTTTTATAGTGAAGCGTTTATTGCCGACGTTTCGACTAGCTCGTCGTCTTCAAGGCCTGAAGGAAGCATTTCGAAAATTCTCAAATGAAACTTATCCTACTTAACGCTCACTCACTCCTAACTAGTAGCAACTCGAGCAAAAGGTGCAATCCGAGTCGAATCCAACATTGGTCACTCACCTTGGCTTCACCACCACCCTTAGCCTCTAGAGCCTCTAGCTAGGAGTGAGTGAGCGTTAAGTAGGATAAGTTTCATTTGAGAATTTTCGAAATGCTTCCTTCAGGCCTTGAAGACGACGAGCTAGTCGAAACGTCGGCACAATAAACGCTTCACTATAAAAAACCTGTTTGGCACAGAAAAACTTTCAATTAACTGCAAAAAGGGTTAAAACTAGAAGTTAAGTTAATCAAAACCAATATTTAGTGACAAAATTAGGGTGACGTTGTCGCTGACTGCCGAATAGTTGAGGTCAGAGGGTAATGAGATACAATTCGAAATCTGTATTTTTCAAAGGAGTTTAGACGAAAAGAAACTCGTGCATGGTTGAAGCTTTTGTGGAAATTGGAGCCTAAAATGGATTTCTCTCTTATTTTTGGAAACAAATTGTTTGAACTACGTTTAACACACTTCAATTCTTTGAATTTTGGAGTTTGATAAGCAATGAATTGAGTTGGAGATGATGACTTGATCTTTGTTGCATTCAGAATCACAAATGTTTTGAAACGAATATTTCGAAGTGAGAAGTTAGAAGATGAACTGCACAATCCGAAGTTAACGCACTTCATAGCCGAACATGCCCATCCTTCTCTACAGGTGAGTAGGCAACGCAGATGTTTTATTTATTTAGATAGAATGTATAACATTCTCAGTATTCTCATTCTCATGATTTTTGTTCATTTATTCATCAAGTTTCAAGTTTTGAGTAGGTAAAATATGCCCTACGGCAATGTAAGACGGCTGGCACTGGCAGTTGACTGGAAAGTTCTTCATTATACGAGGACTCACGCATTTTTTAGGCTGGTCAGGAAACCTCCCCTCCACCGAGACTCCCCCAAGCGCATGCCTTTTTCAAATAGTCTACTACTCGATACCAAAATTTGGGCATGTTTTCAATTCCTTTACCTAGGAGGATGGGGGCGTGACTTAAAGGCAAGGTCCAGGATAGACAACTGGAGTAACTTCTTCGGTAGGTAGGATCAAGCTGTCTGCAAACGTCACCGACGCGGCATTGACACAGCTCGAAAGAGTGCGACAAGAACGCTGTAGGTTTATCGGTGCTTCCGATTAGTAGCGCTCGGCGGTAGTTGTTTGAAGGCAGCCGCAACATTCGCTTGCTGTGTCTCTTCGTACGGCGTGCTCTCTCGTGTTTTCGCTCGCTCTGACAAGTGAGTCATTCTCACCGCAGTCTTACCGTACCAGGCCCTTGATTTAAGTGTTTTCGATACATATCTTCTTTTACATCCTTTTCACATTCTTATTGAACTCGTAGGCACCAAATTCATCCTGGACCTTTCATTTAAGGTACTCGTCGAGTGATTCTTTCAACTATTTCCTCTTCTCCATTTTTTCTCCGTTATTCTCCGTTCTTTTTTCATCAGTGGAACCTACCAATGCTGAATCTCCGCATCG